GGGAAAATATCAAGAGAAGATCCAGAAGAATACCGATCTTGCCCATGAAGTCGCATCTCAGTGGAACATCAGTAAAGTGACAACTGTGCCTATAATAATATCAGCTACAGGAGTGATCCCAAAAATGACACTTCGGCTGGAGTGTCTTCACTTGGATGCCAGGAAATGTAAATTAATATGCAAAAAGTGTGTCTAGTGTGTTGTTAATGATTACACTTGCCGGTATTGTTTCAGAAGCCATGACTTGCAGTAAAAAAGACGCATCCAACCATTGGTCCATCCTGTGTTGGTGTTGGAAACATAGCCGACCAGTAATTAACTGTGAATATAATAATAATAATAATAATAATAATAATAATAATAATAATAATAATAATAATAATAATAGATGATCCATTGGCCGAGATCGCTTAGGCATCAGTGGAGGTCTCAGACCAAAAGATCGCAGGTTCGAGTCCCGCCTCGGGCATGGTTGCGTTGTGTGTGTCTCTGTATGTTCGTGTGTGTCTATTTCATCATTCATTATTATCATCATCGTCATAATTTCATCCCATCCCCAGGGCTAACAACCCAGGGATATAAAAATGCAATCAGTATTAAAATGCTGATTCTCCCTATAGAAAAGTAACGTGCACCTACCCCGATCATCTAGTCTGAGCCCCTGTGGGATGCACGCATTGCGTGATGGTCGATTCGTGAAAAAATAGTAATAATAATAACAATAATAATACTCCTTATGTCTTGTGCAGTTGAGGGGTCTTGTTTGGACGAGCGGCGGTTGCGGTCTTCTGTATTCATGCTCTCCTCGTGAAGATGGTTCAGGTGTTCGGTCACCAGAGAGAGTGCGCGTATGTAATGATACGGAGTGTACGGTTATGACTGAGGTTTTATTCGTTCAATTGCCTGGCTGCATCGTGAACAGGCATACTTGGTTTCTAAGACGTCCGATATAATACGAGTAAAAGAAACGAACACGTGCGAAATTCTCTTGAGTGAACACACGCGAAACCTTTTGATCTGCAATCATGAACTAGGCGACCCTAGGCCCAAGGCGACCAAGAACTACAATGCGTGTAAACCACAGATGCAGGCGGTCCTTGCGAAAAAAAGAACGAAACGAAAGAAAGGCTCTTTCGAACATTATCTTGTCGTTTCCTCCAACAAGCTGAAGCAAATTGAAAATTATTCTACGACTCATGATGTGTGGCTCTAACTCGAGAACTGCGAGGCGAAGAAAAGCTACCTAGTTGAAAAGTCTGCTTCAAAGAATGGCGGACAATGTGTGCACGCGCGTGCATCGATTCTTTGATACAGTCGACACGCTAGACGTCATGGAGATTGATATTAATACTTTCAATGAGCAATCGAATATGCTGCGTACGCTGAAGGCGCCTAGACCGAATATGTAGGTTCTAAAGTGTCAACCTTAAGTTTTTGGACTCTGATACAAAGTGATGCCTGGACATCAGGGTGACGAGCCACATTTGAAACGAGATCGAGCGTTCAGAGAGTTTCACGACACGGGTCCTGCAGTATTGAAGCTCGCAAACTGTGCCACATCAATCACTACTAGTGAGAGAAGTGCGGATTGTCGCACGCGTTGATGACAAATCGAGGAAGGTCTGTTAAAGGTGCTCTCTATGTTCGAGAAGAATAATACTTGGGGCCTCGAGATCCGTCCCAAGAGACCACAAGGTCGTGGGTGTCGAATGATGATGAAGAGTCAGTTTCATGGCGATGAAGATGTACACACGTCTGGTCGCCCAGGGATTCAGCCAGCAGCCAGATATTCACTTCACAGCAACATTCGTATCGGTGGCCGACAACAATCTGCTTCGTAGCATATTTTCTTGTCATCCATGGGATGATGCGACAACTTAATCTCGAGATTACGTATTAAAATGACGTCTTGAAGAAGAGACGTCTTGAAGAAGAGACTCGTACATGAAGCCACTTGAAAATATGTAAGAAATCATGCAAGACATCGAAAGTTCTATGATAGCTTCAAGATAGTGTTTATTTTTCATTATCTATCATTTTCGCCAATCATGAGACTAACATTAATTTTGATGCATATGAAAACAACATTTTAAAAAAATGGACCCTTGGCGAGAAAATAAATTGTTTAAAAATGCCCTATATTTCTCGCAAAATTACGTGGAAACTACTTATTTTCGAAAAATTGTACATGACCTTATTTCTAGAAAGACAGACAAACTGGGTGGGCGGGGGCAGAAAAATGTTTTGTCCTCAAACGATTGTTCGGCACCAAGGTCACAAAAATATGAATTTTGACTACACAACATGTTAGAGGAAGTTATTTACTACATACATGACCAAGATTTATCCACTTTTTCGCTACCCGGGCCTTCAATAAGAGTATTTCTCTTGTTCTCCAATCTCTGGCGCACGATTTTTCATACTTCGTAAGAAGAGAAAGTATTATTAAACACATTGTTTACATGTAGAGCTCTGCCGAACAGCTTAAATTAATTATTAGGAATGAAGCTAGCACAAAACAATTAATTTGAGCACAGAAAAAGTCTTCCTCGGGCATACAAATTGTAGTATGTCAAAAGTTTACACGAACTTAAAGAAACAATCAAATTGAGATATTTTTTCTTTTTCATGAAATATGAAACATGAAATTTCATGAATCATGAAATATGGTAGTGGCACCTTGCTATTACGACAGAAAATCCTCTCCCAACAACAATGGAACAGGTACAAAATGCCTTCCATTTCATGCTCAAGGAAGTTTTAACAGCTTTAGGGGCTTTTGTTAATTTGGGGACCCCTTATTCTTACTTTCACCGATTTCACCCCCACCCCCCAAATTTAAAGACATTTTTTGTTAAAAAAAACTAAACTTCTCATCAGTGTGTGACATTCTCACGTCAACCAGCCACATTTCATATTATAAATATTATCCAATGATGCGCGACATATCACTACATTGTGGCAATTTTTTGCGAAGTTTAATCATACATCACTTTTTATATATTTTAATTTTTTTAAAAAATTTAGTATTAAATAATTTGTTTAAGGACTATTGGTGTTCCTAGGCCCTTTGGGTCCATGCGTTAACACAGCACTGTTTACGCTGGTGCCCAAACATGGTGACAAAGACCAAATAATAAACCTAGTCAATGGCTTCTATCATGTGTCTCTAAGTATTCAAGCCATGTATAGGAATGAAGTATTGAAACAAATAATATGTGTTCAATGCATCACCAGTGTGTTCAACCATGTGCCCGTTGGTGAGGTGAACAAGGCTGCAGTAAAACAGTATTGTATAGTGATTAATTTGTAGTGTTTTATGTCATTCTCTTAGTCAACAATCAACACCTCCTCAACGTCTAGTGGATGATGACATCGCGCTACCAAAAACAGGTTTTAACATCAAGATTATGATGAGTATTTTAATGCCAACGCAGGGGCTAATGTTCATGGCTCACACCTGAAATTTATGTCTCATCACAACTCCCGATTATCCAGGTGTATTCCAATGCTTTCCCTCTTCAGTGGGCATTTGTGAGTAAACAGGATACAGTCATACGACCAACTTTTGAAAATATTTTTTAAATGAAACGCGAGCTGTCTTGTGTGCATTGATATATTATAGAAATAATTTTGTAGATTTGTACATAGACAATATGTAAACAAAATTCTCAAAACTACACATATTGTCTCTCACTAGTGTTAGATACTTCTCACTGGTGCGATGTTCTGATTCTTGTTTATCACATATATTCTGTTATTTCTAGTCATCGGTAATGTGAACTTCATCTAGCATGCTTCGTAACATATTCCACTAAGGACTTCATCCACCACTTTTTGATAATGACAACATTAACTGACAAATTCTGCAATTTGCTAGATTTGCGCCTTATCAACATCGCTCTGCGTTGGCAAAGGGCAAAGTAGGCCTATATATTTGCTGGCAAATCTCGTAAACATTCTTACCCATCTTGCTCACTGTGCCCACTCAGCATTCATTACACTGGGTATGTGTATTGAATAATGAATATATTGTGATAATATTGATGATATATATTGATGTGATATATTGTGATGAATTGTATAATGAATTTGTTTGTGAATATCACTTCCTTCCCACCCACCCTTCTAGGGCTGTCTTACTCTCCTCAGTATTCTTTCCTCGGTTGTAATTCCCAGTAATAATGTATATCAAGTTTTGTTGAAATAACATTGTTCCCACATTGAAAAGTTATGTTGGAACACGTACACACATACACATCCATAATTTTTTTGTATATTAATATTTTCGGCAATAGGCACACTTGTGAGGCAATGTTTACCCCAACAGTGATATAAATAAAAGTATTACATGTAATTATAATTATATTTATTTAAAGTTAATTATAATGTTATAAATATATTTGTTTTTGTAGACATTGAGGAAAAAGGAATAAATGTGTTTTTTAAAAGCTGTAGCTTGCTTGACATTTGGTCTCAAAAAAATGTATTAAACACAAGTTGTAGGAAATTGTATCCACTTTAAAATTGATTGATATAATTTTTCTACAGGAGAAACCCCTTAAAAAAGTCACAAAAAATATCAGTTTTACAGACTTCCCAGAGATAGCACAAGATCTGGGAGATTGAAAATGTGTTTTAACTAGTGCCTGGGAAAATACAACATACCCAAAGAAAAAAAATGTATGACTTTTTCGAAGTAACCTCCCATTTTCAGAACTTATTGACTGGACTAGAAAGGTTATATTCAAACTTAACAAGAATCTAGCTCAATGTGTAATGGCTGTAGAAACAAGCCCTGATATTAAAACATATCAAGTCAGAGGGAAGGGAATGATGAATTATCTTGAGATATTGTAAAAATCTTCAATCATTCATGTTTATGAATTATGTGCACTTTTCGGTAATTACAAAAGACTTTGTTACAAGAAGAGATCAAAATATGGTTACAATTACTCAGTTATAGTAATGAAACTAACATAAAAACATTTATGACTTAC